CTGGATATTCATGTAGTTGGCGAAATAATACGGCGATAAGAGAGAGGGCTTCACTATAGAAATCGACTAATTATTCATAAATTTGACACCCGAGGGACACCAACATGGCGGACACTAACTTCAGCAAAGCTTGTGACGTCACCTGAAACCCAACCATATGGGTGTTAGCCATTTAGATTGTGTGAGTAGGGTGCTCATAAACTATGTAAAAGATTCTAATAAAACAACTGAAAACCATGAAGATGGTTTGTTCTGATTTAGCACACAATTTGACCCCAAAAGCTATTCCATTTAAGGAAAATCTTTTAGTTTCGATCAAATGCGAAAAATTAAAAAATTGGGACAAAACATTTGTAGAACACTATTGTCAAACTGTTTTGGCTCAGTTTTCTTTTTAATTTTGGTCTAATTTTAAATGAGGCCGTGCCGCCAGCTACCATGACTTACTGTGATTACACTAACAAAGTAGTCTCAACATGTTCAATTATCTTACATAGGGACTGACTAGTTTGCATGAAGCCTTTTTGCCAGCAAAAAACTAAAACAAAAAATACAACAAAAAGAAAACAAAATAGTTAGGGCCTCATTCATTGGACTTGTATATCTCTGCGCGGAAGAGCTTCAATCAATTATTTCATAAATGTAGCTAATACAAAAGTTAAGATAAAAAAAAAACACAATGAGGCAAAGTTTGAGGCTCCGAGCAGGCTGGGATTTAAGTTCATATTGGGGACAACAAAGCGCAAATTATCTGTAAATAGAAGTAAAATTTATGAAAATCCTAATTTAAGTACCAGAAGTAAAAAAAATAAGCACCAATCCATCAATCAATCAATCAGTAGATCGATTGATCAAGCATTCAATCGATAAATCCTTGAAATTAATCTAGAGATTATTTATGTCATTTGTAAAATGTATCGCAATAATCTTACATCGAGACCAAATAGTTCAACTCTCATCTCGTTTGTGTCCAACCTTTTCGCCAGCGGTCACCAAAAATACAAAAACAGTCAGCGCCTCATTAAATGGACTTGTAAATCTTTGCAAAGAGCTTAAGTATCGTAGATACAGTTAATGTAAAGACTAATACAAGAAAACAAAACAGAAGCAACAACTATGAAGCCAAGTTAAAGGCCCCAAGAAGACGGTGAAAGTTCATGTTTAAAAAAACAAAGCGCATATTACCTGTAAATAGAAGACAAATTTATGAAAATCCTGATTTGAGGACCAAAAATAAGATAAAATAAATGCATTGACCCATGAATCAATCAATCAAAATGGCAATCGATTAGTCAAGCATTCAATCCCTAAATCATTTAGGGATTATTCATGTTATTTGTAACATGTATCGCACTTCATTGGAATTAATCAACTGAATACAGATTATTTGGTAATATCAACTAGGTTCAAATTGTAAACTGGCCACCGTAAAGAGTTAAAAAGCTTACGTTTCGAGCGTTTGCCCTTCGTCAGAGCGAATCAAGGACTAACGCTCGAAACGTGAGCTTTTTTAACTTTTTACGGTGGCCAATTTACAATTTCAATGTAGTTGATATAACCACATTACCTAGTTACCCCCACCAACACAGCACCACAGTTTCTCTGGGAACTTACCCCCTGTATTCCCTGAACACAGATTAGATACTCCTCAATTAATATATCAGTCATTTTAAGAACGAAGTGACTTCAAAATAATATTTACATTGGGCAGTATTTGGTTGTCATCAGTTCACTTCAGTTCCAGTGAGACATCATCTCCAATGAGAATGAAGGGCGCCCAGTACTTAACTTCCTTGAAAGTTTCAGACTCTCTCATACGTCGCATGGCTTGTTGAAGAGCTTGACTGACCCTTTTTCCTTTGAGTAGTTCTTCGTATAAATGTTTCATGAACTGGAAAGTAGCCACGTCGTCAATCCCCCACAGGGACACCAGAACGGAACGAGCACCGGCGCCTAAAAATGCTCGTGCGATGCCAACTACCCCCTCTGCCCTTATTTCTCCATGAGCGCTATGGCAGCAACTAAGCACAACTAGTCTTGCCCGTAGATGAGCTTCTGAAACATCTGTCATTGTTAGTAAAAAGTCTTTCTCTATAGGCTGATAGGATTCCCTGGTAGGGTTTGGTGCCAAGAGTATTTCACCCTTTTCCATATCACCATGTGCAGCGATGTGTACTAAAGCGACTGTGGAGAGTCGCTTTAAAATTTCATCTTTTGTTGCCTTTTTTCCAATGAGTGGGGTGGCATCGAGGATTCTTCCGATCATCTCTACTTCTTGCTTTGCAAATGGCAGCTGATAATACTTGTTCCCCTTAAAGAGAACTTCCTCTAAGCACGGATCTCCCACAAGTAGTACACCAGTCTTTTTGTGAAAGTCTTCTGGACAATCAGTAACCAACTGCAAGGTAGTCAGGGATGGGATCACACGGATCCTAAATGTTTCCGATAAATACTGCATATTCGGGTTCACCAGTGCAGCGAAGGGGACCAAACAAAACGGACCTTCGGGTACAAGTATAAGGTCATCTCCATCAACCAGGTCTGCAATAGGAGCGAGGATGAAGTCATATAATTTCCTTAAGCTTTCTTTTCGTAAATCACAGCGAGACACACTGGCAGGGGCTCTTTCAGTTGTCAATTCTTTATTATGATTCTCATAAAGAGAGCGATTCTCACAGGTAAGGGAAGATCTTGCAGCAATTTCTACAAGAGCATTATGGTTTAGAGTCGAGATGAATTCTCTCACTTCTTTATCTGAAACGCAGCCATATACTTCCTTTTTTCTAAGGTCGACTTTGTTATCACTTTGTATGACCCAGAAGACAATTTCTTCCTCACTTTATGCTATAAAAACTGTTGTCGATGGCATAAATCTAAGGTTGAATACAGCTGACTGTAGTGAGGGAGATAAACAAGCCACGTTTTCTTGTCGAAAGGTGTACTTTGCCTCCATGAGATCCTGTAAGGCTTGCGCCCGTCCATTCTCGGCAGTAAACAAGGCATTAAGAACCTGATCTTGGTTTAAATAAAGACGCCACAATTTTCTATAGGTATGATTGTAGGTTTCCCTGTAGCTAATCTTCCACTCGTCTTTAAACTGGAGGGAAGCTCTGACTTCGTTATACATTGTCAAACTGGATGTATAAAAACTGATAGCTTTCAAAGGAGCTTTTTGACTTTCAAATATCTGAGCAAGAATACTTAATGATAAAGCCTTTCCAGCTTTGTCTCCCACTTTGTTGGCAATTTCTAGATTACGCTTGTGGTACTCAATGGCCTTCTTAAGATCGCCACGCCCAAAATAGTTAGTGCCAAGATTTGCATTGGCCCGTCCCTCTCCGGCCTGGTCTCCCACGTCTTTGGCAATTTTCAGATGCCGCTCATGGTGCTCAGTGCTCTTCCTAAAATCGTCGAGACTATAATAATCAATGCCGAGATTTCCATAGGCCTGTCCCTCTCCAGCTTTGTCTCCCACTTCTTTAGCAATTTTTAGATGACGCTCATGGTGCTCAATGGCCTTCCTAAAATCGCCAAAGCTATAATAGTCATTGCCAAGATTTCCATAGGCCTGTCCCTCTCCAGCTTTGTCCCCCACTTCTTTCGCAGCTTTTAGACGACGCAGATGGTGCTCAATGGCCTTCCTAAAATCGCCAAGGCTATGATAGTCATTGCCAAGATTTCCATAGGCCCGTCCCTCTCCAGCTTTGTCTCCCACTTCTATAGCAATGTTTAAATCATGCTCATGGTGCTCAATGGCCCTCCCGATATCGCCAAGCCCAAAATGGTTATTGCCAAGATTAGCATAAGCCCGTCCCTCCATAGCTTTGTCTCCTATTTCTTGAGCAATTTTTAGATGTAGATTATGGTGCTCCATAGCCTTCCTAAAATCGCCAAGCCTATGATAGCCATTGCCAAGATTTCCATTGGCACTTCCCTCTCCAGCTTTATCTCCCGCTTCTTTAGCAATTTTTAGATGGTGATAATGCTGCCGAATGGCCTTCCAAAAATCACCAAGGCTATGATAGGCATTGCCAAGATTTCCATGGGCCTCTCCCTCTCCAGCTTTGTCTCCCACTTCAATAGCAGCTTTTAAACGATGCTTGTGGTACTCAATGGCCTTCTTAAAATCGCCAAGCCCAAAATAACCATTGCCAAGATTTCCATAGGCCCGTCCCTCTCCAGCTTTGTCTCCCACTTCTTTAGCAATTTTCAGATCGCGCTCATGGTGCTCAATGGCCTTCTTGAAATCGCCAAGCATAAGATAGCCATTGCCAATATTTCCATAGCTCCGTCCCTCTCCAGCTTTGTCTCCCACTTCTTTACAAATTTTCAGATGACGCTCGTGGTGCTCAATGGCCTTCCTAAAATCGCCAAGGCGAAAATACCCATTGCCAAGATTTGCATAGGCCTGTCCCTCTCCAGCTTTGTCTCCCACTTCTTTGACAATTTTTAGACAACACTCATAGTGGTCAAAGGCCTTCCTAAAATCGCCAAGCCTATGATAGCCATTGCCAAGATTTCCATAGCTCCGTCCCTCTCCAGCTTTGTCTCCCACTTCTTTACAAATTTTCAGATGACGCTCGTGGTGCTCAATGGCCTTCCTAAAATCGCCAAGGCGAAAATACCCATTGCCAAGATTTGCATAGGCCCGTCCCTCTCCAGCTTTGTCTCCCACTTCCTTAGCAATTGTTAGATCACACTTATGGTGCTCAATGGCCTTTCTAAAATCGCCAAGCCTATGATGGGCATTGCCAAGATTTCCATTGGCCCCGCCCTCCCCAGCTTTGTCCCCCACTTCTAGAGCAATTTTCAGATGACGCTCATGGTGCTCAACGGCCTTCCTAAAATCGCCAAGCCCAAAATAGCCGTTGCCAAGATTGGCATTAGCGCCTCCCTCTCCAGCTTTGTCTCCCATTTCTTGAGCAATTTTTAGATGACGCTCATGTTGCTTAATGGCCTTCCTAAAATCGCCAAGCCCTAAATAGCCGTTGCCCAGATTTGCATAGGCCCGTCCCTCTCCAGCTTTGTCACCCACTTCTTGAGCAATTTTTAGACAATTCTCATGATGCTCAATGGCCTTCCTAAAATCGCCAAGGTTATCATAGTTAATACCAAGAGTAGCATAGGCCTCTCCCTCCCTAGCTTTGTCTCCCACTTCTTTAGCAACTTTCAGATGATTCTCATGGTGCTTAATGGCCTTCCTAAGATCACCAAGCCTACGATAGCCATTACCAAGGTTTTCAGACGCCCGTCCCTCTCCAGCTTTGTCTCCCACTTCTTTGGAAATTTTTAGATGACGCTCATAGTGCTCAATGGCCTTCCTAAGATCGCCAAGCCTATTATAGCCATTGCCAAGATTTGCGTGGGCCTGACCCTCTCCAGCTTTGTTTCCCACTTCTTTAGCAATTTGTAGACAACGCTGATAGTGCTCAATGGCCTTCCTGAAATCGCCAAGCCTATGATAGGCATTGCCAAGATTTCTATAGGCCCCTTCCTCTCCAGCTTTGTCTCTCACATCTTCAGCAATTTTTAGATGACGCTCATGGTGCTCAATGGCTTTTCTAAAATCGCAAAGCCCAAAATAGCCGTTACCAAGATTTCCATAGGCCCGACCCTCTTTAGCTTTGTCTCCCACTTCTTGAGTAATTCTTAGACAACGCTCATGGTGCTCAATGGCCATCCCAAAATCACCAAGCCCAAAATAGCCATTGCCAAGATTGGCATAGGCCCGTCCCTCTCCAGCTTTGTCTCCTACTTCTTGAGCAATTTTTAGACAACGCTCATGGTGCTCTATGGCCTTCCAAAAATCGCCAAGGCTATCATAGTCAATGCCAAGACTAGCATAGGCCTCTCCCTCCATGGCTTTGTCTTCCACTTCTTTAGCAACTTTTAGATGATTCTCATGGTGCTCAATGGCCTTCCTAAAATCGCCAAGCCTACGATAGACATTGCCAAGATTTTCAGAGGCCTGTCCCTCTCCAGCTTTGTCTCCCACTTCTTTGGAAATTTTTAGATGATGCTCATAGTGCTCAATGGCCTTCCTAATATCGCCAAGCCTATGATAACCATTGCCAAGATTTACATAGGCCTCTCCCTCTCCAGCTTTATCTCCCACTTCTTTGGCAATTTGTAGACAACGCTGATCGTGCTCAATGGCCTTCCNCCTTTGTCTCCCACTTCTTGAGTAATTTTTAGACAACGCTCATGATGCTCAATGGCCTTCCTAAAATCGCCAAGCCTATTATAGTCAATGCCAAGATTAGCATAGGCCTCTCCCTCCATGGCTTTGTCTTCCACTTCTTTAGCAACTTTTAGATGATTCTCATGGTGCTCAATGGCCTTCCTAAAATCGCCAAGCCTACGATAGCCATTACCAAGATTTTCAGAGGCCTTTCCCTCTCCAGCCTTGTCTCCCATTTCTTTGGCAATTTTTAGATGACACTCATAGTGCTCAATGGCCTTCCTAATATCGCCAAGCCTATGATAACCATTGCCAAGATTTACATAGGCCTGTCCTTCTCCAGCTTTGTCTCCCACTTCTTTGGCAATTTGTAGACAACGCTGATAGTGCTCAATGGCCTTCCTAAAATTGCCAAGCCTATGATAGGCATTGCCAAGATTTCTATAGGCCCCACCCTCTCCAGCTTTGTCTTTTACTTCTTGGGTAATTTTTAGATAAGGCTCATGGTGCTCAATGGCTTTCCTAAAATCGCAAAACCCAAAATAGCCGTTGCCTAGATTTCCATTGGCACGTCCCTCTTTAGCTTTGTCTCCCGCTTCTTGAGTAATTTTTAGACAACGCTCATGGTACTCAATGGCCATCCCAAAATCGCCAAGCCCAAAACAGCTATTGCCAAGATTTGCATAGGCACGTTCCTCTCCTGCTTTGTCTCCCACTTCTTGAGCAATTTTTAGACAATGCTCATGATACTCAATGGCCTTCGTGAAATCGCAAAGGCTATCGTAGTCAATGCCAAGATTAGCGTAGGCCTCTCCCTCCATGGCTTTGTCTTCCACTTCCTTAGCAACTTTTAGATGATTCTCATGGTACTCAATGGCCTTCCTAAAATCGCCAAGGCTATGATAGGTATTGCCAAGATTTGCACAGGCCCCTCCCTCTCCAGCTTTGTCCCCTATTTCTTTTGCAATTTTTAGATGACATTCATGGTGTTCATTGGCCTTCCTAAAATCGCCAAGCTCAAAATAGGCATTGCCAAGATTTGCATAGGCCCGTCCCTTCCCAGCTTTGTCTCCCACTTCTTGAGTAATTTTTAGATGACGCTCATAGTGCTCAATGGCCTTATTAAAATCACCAAGCCTAAAATACCCGTTGCCAAGACTAGCATAAGTCCGTCCCTCTCCACCTTTGTCTCGCACTTCTTGAGAAATTTTTAGACAACGCTCATGGTGCTCAATGGCCTCCCTAAAATCGCCAAGGCGATCATAGTCAATGCCAAGATAAGCATAGGCCTGTCCCTCCATAGCTTTGACTCCTACTTCTTTAGCAACTTTTAGATGATTTTCATGGTGCTCAATGGCCTTCCTAAAATCGCCAAGCGTATGATAACCATTACCAAGATTTTCAGAGGCGTGTCCCTCTCCAGCTTTGTCTCCCACTTCTTTTGCAGTTTTTAGGTGACACTCGTGGTGTTTGATGGCCCTTTCAAAATTGTAGAGACTATCATACCCATTGCCAATATTTGCATCTGCTGTTCGCTCTCCAGTTTTTCCTCCTATTTCTTTGGCAAGTTTAAGATCACGCTCCTGATGTGCGATTGTTTGTAATTTAGTATGGTGCTTTTCGAACTTCAAAGGGTAAAGGATAGTAATGAAGAATGTTCGGCAAAGATGTCAAAGTTGTTGCCAGCTACTTTTTTTTATTTTTGTTTCCTTTTTTTAAAGTATTTACGTATTATAGCCGACTGCAGTTTGATTTCAATTGCAACGTGGTCCATTTTAGTAGTATGCACTTCATAGAAGATAAGATGAAAATGAGACATTTCATAATTTATTGCGTCCAAAGTTGGCCAAACCAAGGAATAAAAATGCTAGGCAAAGCCAATCATTTTCGCAGGAGACACCTGAACTGTAGATAATGCATTGCAACTTCAGGCGATTACAGGAAAACGAGTAGACTGTAACACACAATTTAACCATGTTCTACTGTCACTTACTCTCGAAATTTAGCCCATCCAAAACAAAATATACTCTTTGAAGCGGAAAAACTCTTTTTTACTGCCTTCACTCTGAGGAAATGCACGCTATCCTTTTTGGGCCGAGATGGAGCATGCGACAAGATAAGAAAATCCATAAGCGCGCGTCGAGTTTTTTTTTTGTCATGATTGAGAGGGATGATTTGAAAGTTTTTGTAACTAGAAATTTGAAAATCTTTCAATTAATCGCGAGTGACTATAAGAGCTAAACTCGAGCTAAACAGGAGCTAAACGGAAATTCTGTTTTGCAGAAAAAGCAGACTGATACATTTATCATTGACGTATCCGGAGATAGATAATTGTTGAATATGAAGTAAAGAAGTTTTCTGAAAGGTATCATTAACAGCCAATACCCAAACTATAAGGCAAATTCTAACTTCTAGACATAAATATGCACAACAATTGTGCAACCTACCGCAATACCCACAGTTTTTGGAGTTTTGGGGGTTGTCGAAACTTCAGCATTCACCAATAACTTGCTCACATGATCACTTATGTTTGTAACATAAAAGGATACTGTTAGCCCTTTCAGACACCAGTTTAAGGCCTCCTCATGTAACTGTAACTGCGCACAAGCCCCGGCTCCTAAAAGAAAATCATCTTTTCAATACAAGCTTCTCATTTGCTTTTGTTGGTAATACAAAAGTTAACTTGTCGAAACAATCACTAAGCGACCTACTTTGACCAAACTGGAGCATGAAATCTCTACCCGTTGGATCAAAGTTTCGCTATATTATTGTTTTTTTCAATACGATGGGAAAGTTTTAAAATGCTTCAGTTCTCGCAGTCCCTTTGTTTTACATTTTTGATTCTAAATGTGCCCGGAAATTAGCGTGCAAACTTATTTCATAGAATGATTAGACTGCAAACTAGTTTTAACTTGTTGCTAGATCCAAATGATTTTGAAGTGGCAAATAAGTAACAGAAACAACAAATAGAAGGGAGTCTGTTACTTTTTACCCCGTACCACCGCATGTTTCTTATTTGCACATGGCTACCTTTTGCATTGTAAAGCCAACTACTAAACAGTGGCTGATCCGAAGTTAGCATTTACGCCTTCAGACTCCGGCAACTTGAATCTTATTAAGTAAGCTGGTCGCTTACTGGTAAGTTCTCACTATCCTTTTTTCACCTTCAAAGGATATTTTTTTGGGTTGTTTAAACCATTAGGGGCCATACATGAGGGAATTTTTGACTCAAGTATTCAATTCTTTGGCGATAAACAAAGCAACTGTCTACGAGAGGGATATAGGAATTTGCATGTATGGCCAGGTTCCTCGATTGTTTCCAAAATGGCGGCATCCCTTGCAAAATTTATGGACCGTTAACTGAGTGACTGATTGCAATCCTAAAGGATAAGTGAACACTGTCTTTTTTTTTTTAGTTTTTTTTTTTTTGAGGCAGAAGTAAAATCATATGAATATGTTTTTTGAGAAGTACTCCAAAGTATAACAACTTCGCGAATAAATTAGATGAATGTAGTTGACCTACTCGCCGTCCGTTTAATTCAGAGCGTAATCGTGACCTTGGAAATCTAATCGTTTCTCATGAATTCTCCCGTCTAAACGAGGCTTTAAATTGGCCTCGCTAAATATCAATAGTCTTTCTGCACACATTGACCAACTAAGAATTTTTGCTTTCCGACAGACCTATCGATATCTTAGCTATAAATGAAACTAAATTGGATGACACAATAAGTGATAATGAAATTCATATTTCTGGCTATGAATCTATTCGATCGCTCTACCAACGGTAGGTCTGGAGAGGGTGTCTGTCTTTTTATTTGTTCCGAAATCAATTATTCTGTTTGCTCTGATCTAATATGTGAACACATAGAAAGTCTGACTGTCGAAATCAAGAAGCCTAGATCAAGGCCTTTTGCCGTTATGACCTGGTATAGACCCCTGCTTCTTCAATTGACCTTTTTAGACCATTTGAAGAACTTATTAGAAAACTAGACTCAAACAATATCGAATATTACGTCTTAGGAAATCTGAATTGTAATATGGCCGCGCCTGAGTTTGACAACAGTACAAATATCTTATCTAATATTGCTGAAGTTTACAGCCTTGACCAGTTAATAACTGAACATACTAGAATTACCGACAGATCATCTACTCTAATTGATCTAATTGTAACAAATACTCCAGATAGGGTTGTCGGCTCAGGGGTCTCGCATATAGGCATCAGCGATCACAGTTTAGTTTACGCTTTTCGTAAAGTTTCTATAAAATCGACAACTAATAAGCATACTACCCTAAGATATAGGAAATTTAAGAATTTTAACTCTGATCCCTTTCGTAACGATATATGTCAACAGGATTGGAGTATCATCGAAAGCTATGCTGATCCTAATTTAATGTGGGCTGTATGGAAACAACTATTCCTGGAATGTTTAAACAAGCATGCCCCACTTCATGTAAAACGGGCGCGCGCCTCAAAGTCACCTTGGATTACACCTTACTTAAAGAAACGAATGCATGACAGAGATATTCTTAAATTGAAAGCATCGCGTTCTAAGGATGCTAATGACTGGCTACAATTTAAAAAATTTCGCAGCCTAGTTAATAACGAAATCAAAAAGCAAAAGAGCTCTAAA